CCTTCGCCCCTTCCTCTTTCTCAACCTTCTTCCTCCGCGAACCTAGCAAGGGGGTTTCATGAGGAACCCAAGACCTGGGTTCATGAAACCCAAATATGGGTTCCGCGAGTAACCCAAATCTGGGTTCCGCGAGTAACCCAGTAGCGGGTTTCGCGAACCCAGCTATTGGGTTTCGCGAACCCAGTCCCAAATCTGGGTTCCTTGTTTTTTTTTTGCTGTCGTCAGGCTCCTCCTCCGTCGAGATCATCACTGGAAAGGGACGGTGAGATCGATTTTGATGCTGCAGATCCAAAATCGATAGCCAAGAGGTTGGAGGAACTCGGATTCTCTCATGAATCTGCCGAGCAGGCTTGCCCAGCCCTCACTCAGTACGTGCACCCACTGCAGGTCGCTATTCGTCAGCCTGATTCTAGGAAGCGACAACCCCTCCCGTTTCTTGATGTTCCGTTTCGAATCCTCCACGAGGAGCTCCACCAGCTTGCCGCCATCTGGTTCAATCAAACCTGCCCCGACCCTGACTCGGACCCCAACCCCTGATTCTAGGAAAATGAGCTTATTTTGTTGATTTTTGATAAGCATGGACAAAATCAAGAATGGTGGGTTTTATAGGCTGTGTGTGTTTTTGATGGATGACTGTGACTTGCAAGGGATGAACCTAGACAGAGACAATTTTACTTTCTTTTCTTTTTCTTCACTAATTTTTAAATGAAAAAGGAAGAATTCCTCGCGAACCCAGGCTTTTGGGTTCGCCTGGAGGTAAAAGAAAAAAAGAAAAAAAAAAAAAAGGCTAGAGGAAGGAGAAGTCGGGGAAGAAGATGAGGGTATATCAGTAATTAAAAGTAAAAAAATTAATATGTCATCAATTTTTGCCATGTGGATTTTACACGTAATTTGGTTTAAAAAATATAATTTAAACTTTCCCTTTGTCTGAGATTGGGATTTTTTTTTTCATTTTCGCGCGCGGTAGAGTGACGTGGCAGTGACGTGGCAGTGATGTGGAAGGTGTCAGAAGTCCACGTAAGCATTTGGTACAGGTTGGCATACCCACGACAGCTATTCTAGTTAAGTTAACGGGCCACGTGAGCAAAATTTGACGGAGGGACTAAAAAGGGGCCGGATTTTAAAATTTAGGGACCAAAAAAGGGATTTTTTCGGTACAGGGACCAAAAAGGGGCTTTTTTCTATAGTAGAGGGACCAAAAAGGGTATTTAACCAAAATCAAATATAAATTGTCCAAACATAAACAAGGATAAATCCAACATAAATAACAAAACCAACAAATTTATTCCTTGTACAACAATAATGATGAGCTAAATTTATATACATATTAATAGAGAATTTTTGCTTTGATATTATTGATATTTGGATGAGTTTTATGGGATTTTATTTGATTTTATATGGTTTTCATCCTTTGTATAGGAAAGGATTTAATTGGAAGAAATCTTACTTTTTAGAAGTAAATTGAAGAGATTAGAGACTTGAGGATCAACTTGTGCAGAATCCAGAAGTCATGAACCAAATCTGCTATTTTACCATTGAAGAAATTGCAAAAGGAGACCAGAAACCCGACACGGGTGTAGTGTCGACACATGATCGGGGTGTCGACACGATGCATTAAGAATCAGATTCTGTTTCCTAGTTTGTGTCAACACGTAATCCGAAGTGTCAGCACCACGCGATCAGCATCCAAAATTCAGTTTCCTATTTCTGTTCCAAGTTCTACTTCTATTTCAATTAGGGTTTCTAAAATCCTATAAATATCCATCCAAATTCAGAATTAGGAGAGCTTTGAGAGGCTGGTGGCAGCCCTCTTTGGGCACTCTTGGAGATCAAGATTGAGGTTCCATCAACAATAGAAGATCAAGGAGTTCGATTTCTTCAAATTGGGTTTTGTTTTTCCTTGGGTTTTTATTTATTGTTTGATATTTGAATGTTCATAACTTTGATTTCATATTTTATTCTTTTTACTATGAACTGATTTATTCTACTAGGGCTACGATGTAGCCTAATCAATTCAATATGGATTTTGTGATTTTATATTTTCAATTAAAGTTATT